ATTTTGATATTGTAACTACAGAAATGTGTAACAAGTAAATCAGATAGAATCAAGATGAAATGTATTACAATGGCCTATCGAAAAGTAGAGTGTGTTGCAAATAGGAACCGTTTTACAATCTGTATATTCTGGAAAACCTATGGGACGTATAATGTTTCAATATCAAAGCAAATATTAATAAAAAAAAAATTGTGTTCAAAAATTACAAATTAATATGCAATTTTTCTAAAATCAAATCGTCCATTATATTACGATATCCAAAATAACAATACATAATGTACACTTATGTTGTTGATCCGAAGGTCCCAGGTTTGCATTACCTGTCGTAAATGTACCTGAGATTCATGGATGTTAACATATATATGATAAATGAAGTATTAGCAACAGCATGGACAAGCGAATTGTCAAATTTTCGAAGCAACCTGCCCCTTTATCAAGACACAAATATAACATCAATTACACTACATACATAGAACATAAAATAAATACAAAGTTATAGATATAAATCGATATATATATATATGCGGTTTATTTTATCTTTAAAATACTATATAAAACGATTAGCTATCACAAATAAGTTGTTTTAGGCAGCGGAAAATAAGAGTAAATATCTGCTTTTTTATTCGTCATTTTGGATGGCCAGCTGAGAATTTCCCAACACTGCAATATAAGCCAACAAAGTAAGGCTTTCACGAAAAAGTGCACGTTGATAGAAAAAATTAGACTAACCTGTTATAAAAAAGAAAAGTCTGTCGCTGTTGTCCATCTCTTAGTGACCCTTAAATTGGTCAAGCTGTCCAATGGTCAAACCCACATTCGTATTCACTAGAGAGGGATGACCGGACAGTGGACGTAATTACTAGCTAGTTAAGTTGTTGACAATGATTATTGTCGTGATAACGTCTAAGATGTCCTCCGGACACTTCGGCCAAATACTGACCACTCCGGCTACCAAAGTGACCAGGGAGCCGAACGTTAAGAGGATAATTGGCGTGGCTTTGTTATCTGGGTTTGTAACGAGATAGTAATTTTACAGGTGGCTGTCAGAGTCTGTTTGTCTCTTCCTAACTTTAAATAAAGGTGTTCATACATCTGTTGGAATCAGTAGATTATACCTTGTTGAGTTACCGCTCAAATCAAGCGATGTCCATTCTTTGGTCATCAACGACATGCTATCAACAAAAAGCCAGAGTTTCAGAGATATATCGATAAGAATCTAGTAAGAAACTGAAGGAAAGTTTAAACATTGTTTTCTTTTCTTTAAACAGGACAGGATATAAAATAGACCAGAAAATGATTAAGTCCACTGGTCAGTTTTGGACATTGTCCGGGTTTGTTGACACATACAGATGACCAGTAGTGATAGTGTCCGTGCAGATGATGGGCAGTAATGAACAGTCGCGACAATCAGCGGTCAATACGACTCCGTGGCAGCAATGGTCAGCAGCTTATCAAACTCGTGTATAAAGTCAAATGAGACCATATCACTTTCATAGCCCATTATGCATTCTGTGTCTCGACACTGACTTTCTTTTTCGGAAAGGGGCTCACTTTTTCATGAATTCGGACATAGTATCACCTGCTTTATACTGTTCTTTATTCAAGAAAACAAAAAATTGCTGAATTTTTGAGTAAGTGCATCTCCCTGTCTACTTTATGTAATTCTTTTCGACCAATTTGGAGTTTTAGCTCAGTCTCTTCATACGTTTCATCACTATAGGCCATTTGTATCACTGACGAGTCCTAGAGGGACGAAACAGCAGTATGATGCAGTTTTACTTCATTATTCATGTTCTACTGTACCTAGCTATTTGTATTAAAATGATACTATTCCATTGTGTGTCTTTTGTGTAATATTTGGCTCAACTGTATCTTATTGTAAATTCACATCGAATGTGATATTCACTCGTGTCTTTTGTACAATATTGGAAATGAGCCCCCAACCTGCCCAATGTCATTCGTCATGCGGTTAAGTAATGTGATTCAATATATCTATTTTACACAAAGGACTAATGACATAAAGGTGAACAAATAAAATAGAATAAATTCATCAGAAACTTTTATGTGAAACAGTATGAAAGAAACACAGGAAGAAACAGAGATGACAAACAAAGGAAAAACAAGATTAGCAGAACAGTAATAGTAAACAAAACAAAAGGGAAAACAACATGAACGTAAGAACATAGGAAAAAGGCGACGAAGAAAACAAAACTGAGATAAATGGTCACAATAAAATCAGAACATACAACTAAATAAAATAATGAATGCATTCCATCTGTTTTGACACGTGCTGCTTGGAGTAAAATTGAAATGTAAGGGAAAATCATCCAGTACAGACGATTTGCAGAAAGTGTCCTGTGACTCTCCTGATCAGAGAAGTATTTGAGTGTGGCAAAGATGGGATCTCGTTTCTCTTGTTAGACTATCTCTTTGTGATAACATCGAACTCTCAGCTTCTTTACAGTATTCTTATCTGCAATGCCGGTCTTCAGTATTATACATGCATATGTTATGAATGCAAATATGAATTTTGATATTACTTAATACAAGCGTTACTTGGATCGTTAAGGCAACACATATCGTTTAGTGTTTCGCATTGCTAAATAAATTTCGTAATGTCAAAAAGGGTTCCAATGCGTGTATTATATCATGATTTTCCCCAGTAAGTATATATATATTCAGAAATGTTTTAAACAAGACGCCAAAGTAAACTTGTGTAGTTTAATCTACGTTTGCAGAAACACATAGGTTTTCGACCAAATAACTTTATACTCTATTAATGCCTTACAGATAAGCTTACTTCGTGAGGGAAGCATGGCAGAAATGGCGAATGTTGATATTTAAAAGATTTTGAAAGGGCTATTATTCTTATTATTGAAATGTTACGGAGATTTATGGAAAAAAGAATAAGAATAAGACCATGTGTTCCGGAAGGGTAAGCGCCTTCTGTTTCATCGACGACTCTCGCCATCTAAATGTAAATGTTGGTCAATCGAAGTAAGTAATGTAAAAATAAGTTTTCAGCGAAATCAACATCTTCGATTTCACTTATCATCATTATAAAATTACACATTTTCAGACCTACAATTAGATTCATTGATTTAATTCTCGTTATATATGTCTATATATCAACATGGCAAATTACATGGAAAACGCAAAAATAAAATCACCGTGAAAATTAATACTTTTTTACAGTATGTGAGAGTAATTGTACCTTATTTACTTGTTTTGGAAGATAACATTTTAAGGGACTAAATGAATACGTATGGAACTGAAATCTCTTTAAGATAGCCACATACACTTATACCTACGCCGGCTGCATCATGGTGTGCCATGTAATGTTGTTATGCGAGTAATTTGGCTACCTCAAAACCTCGCGATATAATCAGTCACGCGATTAGGATCTCATATCTAGATCAGATCTAATAAAACACACAAAAACATCTTAACACATTCTTTCTCCGGGAGTAAATTGCCTCCGTGTAGGACATATCTTAAAAAGGGGGGAGGGAGAAGTGGTTATTTTCCCCTTATGTCCGTTCAGAAATAAGTTTTCAAAATTTATGAAAGAAAATTTCGGGCGTTTGTGAAACGTTAATAATATTCTAAATTAAATGACTCTTCAGAATACATTTCAAGGTGCCCTTTCGATACCTGTCATCTGTGTTTAATGACATTAAACGATGTAAATTGGCCCCGACAGTAAATCATTACCATCTTCGTCTTTTCATTCTTTTGATTCTGTAACCGTGCCATTTTTCATTTTAAGCATTATAATTTTTTTATCAAGTGCATGCTAACAGTTGATGAACAGCGTGCACAGCGTAACAAAACAGGGTTTTTTCTCGGTCATGTTTCTTTTTCCATTTTCTAAAGGCTGAAGAGATATCTTGATGTTTGATTCACTTTCATCTTCAGATATAAAAGTGCTTGTTACATTTTTTTGCAGTCTAAAATTTCATATAACATTGTTGATATTGTTATGCATAATATATATGGTATCAAGTTTCTCGTTGTTAACTTATGTTTAATCAATGGCCTGCTTTATAGTGCCTTTAAAGTTTAGAAAGGAGTCTCCACCAAACTGTATGATAAGCGTGATGATTTCAATCGTCCTGCTGTGATTTTTCATTTCTGGATGGCAAGATCCCTGAACCCCCAACCTATGGTGTTTATATATCGCAGCTGATTCAATTCTCGACTATCTGTTCCAATTATTACGATTTTCGTGCAAGTTGTCGTCAAATGAAGAGCAAACATATAACATTGGTTTTAAGAGATGCAGGTTGATAGAAATTACGGGAAAGTTTCTTGAAATGTCATTGAGAATTTTTTTATTTCTTCGTGTGATATGAAACTGGACCTGTTTCAATACGCAATCTTGCCTGTTGTTTCCGTTGCCGTATATCTTGTTCTCATTCAGAAGGAAAGTGACATAACGAGTTGGATTGACTTGGCGGGTGTCTCCTGGTGTCTGCTTTTCTGGAACACCTAGTCTTATTCTCCTTGTACCTTTTAAAAGCCTCCTTGTAAACATTTCTTACATTTGCTCTATTTTTATTGAATTTGAGTTGGGATCTTGTATTGGTCACATGTTGGTATTTTCTTGTTGTTTTTATATAATTATTTTGCTGTGCTTCTCGTGCCAGTCAACATCCAAGGTCATTTTGAAGAATCTGGATTATTACCTCAGTAAACAACATACAGAAGTCCCGTCGCATTACGTCCTTCGCAGTTGAAAAGAAGTGTCTTGCCCTGGGACATAAACATTACAGTACACGACAACGCGTTTCTCAGTTTCATGTGGAACACTAACGTATCCCAACTAGGTATAGTTGCGAAATCCAACACACGACTGACACAACCCCTCTTCTTAAAGGTACGACTATGATAACCAAAACACGACATAAATTTATCGATTCTTTATTGAAAATAATATAAAAAAACAATACAAAAGTAAAATATAACAAATCAACATTATATAATTAATTAAAGGCACTTCATGAATATTTATGAATATTCTAATAATCACTTATGGATATTCATAACAACACTTAATTGAATTCAATTGAACACAGGTATTGTCATTGTAATGCCATTATTTACAGGTACAGTGTAGTTAAAGCTCATATCAAATGTAAATCAATGCATTCATTGATTTATTCCAAATTAACAGTAAATATAATCGACCGATTTGGTTCTCATGTTTATTCATTTGTCTTATAAAGCACCGTATACATATTCATATGCATCTATTGGGAAGCACCGATTTTCTATCCATTTCAGCAAAAATAAGATTCATGATAACAGAAGCATCAATTGAATCAGTATCGGGTTAATGGGACTGATAATCATACGATAAAGCTTTTGTGAACAAATATAAATTGTTGTATTTGTTCGAAATGGAAAATTTATGAAGCAAATTAAAGTAACGTAAACATGCATTTTAATTAAGTATTTCATTTGGACATGCTTTCAAATAAATCTTATTTGAGTGCTGATATTTTACACACTGAGCAACGATCAAGTTTCTACCGGATTAAGTTGTTTTATGATAATTGCAACACTAGATATTCAATAAGGAAAATTAACGTTCACTGAAATTGTAATAATGTGTTATCTATATTTCATTTTGGCGATTAATTATATTGATTGTTTTTTCATACACAACAAAATTGCACAAAAGTCATTGCATAGTGTCCATTTGGTCAGTGTGTGTATTCCTGAAATAAGGGATGTCGATCATTATATCAATCACGAAGACATCCAGTTGATCATTGATGAAAATATTCCAGTAAAACAACAAAAAAGGATTTGTGATCTGCCTTTCAAACCCATATATGCGTCCATATACATTGTTCAATATTCCTTGGCTTGAAAGGATAAGTTTTCAATGTTATAATTTCGTTATGTCATATTCTTCTTGTTCCAGAAAGCATGAATACTCGTCCTTGATGAAGATTACAAGATTCGTCTATTTCTTTCTTATCAGAAAGACGTCATCCACGTGACATGTATGAAACGTCGGACGTCATATGTCGAGATCTGCTGGGGTAGCAATAGACTAGGTATGTTTATTTCATAAACTCCACAGGAACATTATTTCCAAGTAGTTTATGCATTCTTTAAATGTTACAATCCCCCTGTCAATCAGCCAGTTCTTTGTCCTTTGGATCGGATCTTGTTCAACAACTTGTACTTCTGTGATTTATTTATCAAATATTTGTAATTACTCGCCGATAACTGTTTGGCTTTTATCTTGCTCAAGAGTCTTCTCTTTAGATGGCGAATTGGATCAACTGCTTTTTGTCTTGATATTGATGCTGATTTCTTTTTCATCCGACTGCAGTCCGAATCTGAAAAATACAAATCAAACTTAAAGATATATTTTCTGGGTTTGTTTTGCTTAGTAATGATGCATTATTACGTAGTAGGAGCACACATGAAATATGCTATCTTTAAGACACCTGGGAAAATCTTTTTATAGATTTTGATGCGATCTTTGATATAACGAGCACTTTAAAAAAAAAAATTGCTCCAGAACACTGTTTTCTTCGTTTTAGTCAAAATGTAACAATCTTATCACATGATTTGTTAGGTTATGGAATTATATAAAAGGAACAATATTTACCAGGTGAAGCCCAGAATTCCACTGTGATCAGAGTATGACGAGATATCCAGTCTCTAGCCTGATGTATATGGTCGCAATCCCACAACACAATATGTCCCTTAGCATTGTTTCCTTTCTTGGTGTAGGTAATGACTTCCATTATTCCTTGTTTCCCCCAGAACTTGTCCTTGGTTGCTATGGGATCGGTTTGATGGAGAACTGAAATGTTTGGGTATCCATATTTATCCACCAAAAATGGCCCGTAGGCTAGAGGGTGGTAGATATACTGTAAGCCATTGCTGCCCTCTACACTGTCATGGCCATAAGTTGACAACTTGATAGGCTCGCGTCCCAAGGAGTGCTCGTTTCCAATCTTGTTGAGTGTGAAAGACAACCTGAGAGCGCTTGTGTCGTGAAGTAAATGCTCGGTATCACATCCAATCATCCGGAGCAGCATCCGGTGAGTGAATCTACCCCTATGACTGTGGTATCCTGGGTAATTATATCGCAGCTTCTGAAACGAGGGCAGCGCTACCTAGAAAAAATGAAAAAAATATAATAATTAGAGCATGATACCATAGGTCTTTTTAAGTTTTTATCAACCAATGTCATTCTTCAAGACGAAGAACTCTTGTCGCTTTATATTATTTACGATTTATATTTAATATCACGTCAAGAGCTTCGACTTTAGCAGAAACATTTAAAAAATGGAAGCATGTTTATTGATCTAGCTTTTAGATACAATAGGACAATGTAACACAAACCATTTCAGATTACTTTTCAAACTCCCCCTCATAGTAAAGTGTTGCACAATGTACATCCGCTCCCATCAAAATAATGAATAATGATCATTAGGATTAAATTGGGTGTGCTACTTGCTTAAGACGACAAATGATGATAAAGCGTTGAATACATTTTAATATAACAACAATCAGGACCTCGATCACTTCTTTGTTAGCTTTACGGCAGTTTACACCAGCAAATACTGGGTTAAAAAGTGAAATTACAAAAGGTTTACGGAGTAACTTTTATCAGATGTTTTCAACGACTGCCTTTGTGGGACACGTCACATAACACATTGAAGTAGAACGTCTTGGTTTAGACATGCTTTTCGATGCTAGAGGATGCACTTAGACTACGAAGATGAGTTAATGATTGAAACTAAGGGTAAAAGTTCTGTCAGCTTCACTTGTGGAACAGTTTTGTGAAGTTTATATAACATGTATTTTCCTTTAAGTTGCCCGTATCATAGTGACTTCTATGGAGTTGTCTTAAGAATAGGATGATTGACTACAAGGTATCTTCAGTATTCGAAAACCTCGTAAGGCAAATATATGATTGAGAGAGAGCACAAAAGCGTTAAACTTAGTAAATTATAGTTATGTGATGGAAAAACAAAGTTGATGATGAAAGAGTAATATTTAACATTTAGATATTGTCGATCTTATCCTTCGAAAGCAAAAAAGATGATATGAGAAAGCTGGAAATGTAATATTAGCGATTAAGATATTGGAAGGACAAAGCTTACATAGCGATGAAAGATCACAGCTAGTATTATATTACGTCTGTATAACAAATAGTTCTACAAGTTGAAACCGGAATACCAGAAATTATGGTGTATTGTGAAGAAACTCAACACCATGATTGTCCATAAAATGGCTGTGTTAATTTATTCTAAACAGTAGAGAACAATCAAATGGTATCATGTCATTTTCGAAGAAAATTACTACCTACTTCTCATAAAAATGGATAAAAAGGCAAACTATTTTGTCACACTTCGATGAGGGCACAAACTTTACAGTAATGGAACTCTGCACGTGTTAGTTTGAAATCTATACGAAAACACATCAAATGTACTACCGTCATATACTTTGGTATTGAGATGGGGGATTAAATTCAAATATATATTTATAACCTAGAACGGAATGCAATGTATACCTGTATCAAGGGGTTTAGTTTATACAGTGTCAGCAAATGTATGACGTTGTTTGATATTGAATATCAGAACACTGAAGATTTTCGGTCGCCGATACTGCAGTGTTATGTAAATATAAACAATTTGTAAACATCTTACAGTCCCATTTTGGATCAATTGTCTCACAGATCCTGTATCTTAACAATCTACGAATACAATTTACATTTCTTCTTTAAAGCGTTTTAAAAATATTTTCCTGAATTGAGATGATTTATGTTCAGGCTTTTTGTCCTCTAGCATTAGCTATAGGGTTTTTATCATCTAACATTGACTGTAAGCTTTGTATCCTCTAGCATTAGCAATAGGGTTTTTTATCGTCTAGCATTAGCTATAGGGTTTTTATCATCTAACATTGACTGTAAGCTTTGTATCCTCTAGCATTAGCAATAGGGTTTTTTATCGTCTAGCATTAGCTACAGGGTTTTTATCCTCTAGTATTAGCTATAGTGTTTTTATCAAGTCCCTTTTCCTCTAGAAAAAGCTTTAGGTTCTTTATTCTCTAGCGTTAACCATAGGTTTTTATCCTCTAGCATTAGCTACAGGGTATTTTTATCCTTTATCATTTGTTATGGGTTTATATGCGTTCAGTATTGAAAATCATATATGGAGGTAAAAGAAACTTCAACACATTAAGACACAATATTGGGGCTTGGAAGTGATGTACGTTTTTAATATGATGAAATACTCTCTGAAACGTATATCTTTGTCAACTCTTTGATTGGCGTTGCTAAGCAACCAAGACATTTACCTGTAAAAATGTCATTAGAATACACATTTGTTAATACATAGTCAAAATTGGACAATTCTTCAAAGGATATCGTTTCATTGATAACGTTCGCTACTTGGGTTAGTAAAGGTGTAAACACTCAGAAGAAGCTATTACCTGGGGACATAAGACTGTTACCAGGGGCCTGTGGATTACGAGATTAATACCTTTGGTCGGTTGACACTCATTGGTATGCATGCAAGTAATGCAGCGTGAACATAGCACGTGATATAAGTGTGCTTGCTTACCTAACAGTATTATTCAAAAAGTTAGAATATATATATATATACGTATAGATGTTATTGCTTTTCTTCCGTATTTCTTAAAGTTTAATGCTACAATTCTCCAAAGCTTCAAAGCAATGCACTTGCACAAATGAAATTTAAAATGTCTTTATAATAGCATTGATTTATGCTTCAACTAGATCAACAGATCACAGACATTCTATAAGATAATTAAAGTCATCAAGTCATATATTACTACCTTGTTGTTATTGAGCTTTGTACATACCATACAAATTTTCATAATTTGAAAGAAACAGTTCTGATGTTTTGTTGCTAGTTTACCCCATTGGTATATTGAGAATAAGGTACTGGAAAAGAGACAGTTCAGGCTTGTCTATCCTACCTAGAATACGTTTGAACTATAATATGTTTATGGCTTTTCAAATGTTCAAATATTGACATATTGAAAAGAAAGTGCAACAACCGAGTAATTATATAGAAATAAAAATAAAAAGAGTTTGAGCGTTTGATGTTTTTTTCTGAATGCGTCTAATTTTCTTGTTCGCTTAATCAGATAATAAGAAATTTGAATATTTTTATGGATTTGCAGTTAATGTTTTATTCATAAAAATATCACAAAATATGTTAAATTTGTTAAACTGTTCTTTCAACTTTACTTCATAGAAAGGTAATATGTATGGATTTATAACTTAAGATCAGGTAACCAAATAATATTGCGTTTCAGCCGATAGCGAAGCCTAGTGATTCGACTAATCCACAGACCAGCTCTTTAAATTGGAAGAGAGGTGTTGGTCAAGGTTGACTGAACAAGGCACAGAGGCATTTGCTTGCATCGAAAAATACAGGAAAAATATTTTAAGTCCTCAACTGAAAAAGTAAAATATTTGAAAGAGTAGAAAATTAAATAAGAAAGTGAAAATAAGAAAATACTTACCTTGTCCCCCTCTACGAAGTAAATCCACATGGCAGCAAATACTAATAATGTGTTCATATTGATTTGGTACAAACTATTCTGTCACTCATGAATTGGTACTCCTATGACGAAATGTCTCGTGCTTTCTGGCGGGGTGAGGTCTGACACGAGGGGTGATGTCGTCTGCCAACGAAACTGTCGTCTGCCTGAACCATCTACTGTCCAATCAGCGCATGGCAGCCCGCGTGCTCACGCGATTTCAATGTTCTTATGTGTGTAGCTCCTCCCTCTTTATGTAAAACTATATTCCACCGAACGTGCTCTAAGTCATTGATATGCTTTCAATTGTTAATAAATTCGTCATTTTCGTTTCATATAGGATCGCTAGAAGAGTCGGTACACTACACAGATAAGTCCTTTTACACTAGTCGACAAAATGGCGGTTATGTAGAGAGATAGCACTTGGACGTCGATCAGAGGTTTTAATCTCTCAGGAAACTGACGAGTGCATAACAAACATAATGGAGACGAGTTTTTGGGAAGTCTTTTCTTATGCATGACACGTATCTTGTATTAACCCTTGTCTGTCGTTTTCCGCCATATTTTATATGTTGGTACAGCAATGGATTAATAGAAGAACTTTAGTATATTCGTATAAATGATAATACGAATAGTAACGTATTTTAATTTAAATCTGAGATATATTTAACCTTTTTCCTAGTCGTTCTGTCGTGTCTTGTCTCGCATGTTTACTGGTGAACTATATTCATTAGTTAACATGATCTTAAATCCCATTTTTTAAAGCTAACATATTGAATTCTTCAGTCTCTTTTAATGGAATATAAACATATTATTTCCCTACCGAAGTCTTACGAAATAAAACTACATTTCCTTGTACCTAAAGCAACTTGACTGATCATGCATATATTTAATATGTATTTAAAAGTCTAATCACGCATCAACCTAAAATAAGTCTGTTTTGCATAAATTGTAATTCTTCGTTTCATATTTCAAAACATGACGTGTGCAGTTCTTTGACATTATCTGTTAACGTGATCAGAAATGTAAAACCCTTTGCTCATATACAATGAAATTGTGCTTGCATTATTGCATTTATCTTGATCAAAACATCAACATCAGAGCAAACACCAGTTATGACTCCAACAATTTTATTAAAAGCTTCAATAAATAATCATGTAAAATACACACAAAATATGCATTCACTCCGTCCAAATGCCCATACGTTCATCAACGATATTTTAATTCCAGTTAAATTATAAAATAACACGTGCACTCCGATGTGTCTTGCATCTGTTATAATATACTAAGCAAACTTTACACAAGACGTCGTGGTTTTTTTAATTTGACGTTAGGCTAGATCACGTGCTGAATCTCTTTACAATTTTGACACCCAAAGATTTCACGTGAAGCGTGATAAATGTCTTTATTCTTTTTTTTACGTTATCCCGTGAAAACCCGATCACTTGACCAGCAGTTGTGATTTGTAATCAAAATATTTCACATGTGCATGTGCTTCTTTCAAAATTAAGTTGAGGTCGATTGAAATGACTTTTATTCGGGGAAAAATCAAAAATAAAAGGAAAAAAAGGAAAAAGTATGGAGGCGGTATCAATTTCAAACGTTAATTACTGGCATACAGCGCACGCTGAAAGTTTTACAGATAAAAAATATGATAGCCAGCTAATACAAAGAAGCAAATTCCATATAATGGAACCCATCGCAAACCTTTAAAAGCCTTTAAAAGAATCAGATTGCATCGCTATTGGCATCTCTAATACTGCATAGTGCTTTTTTTTAAGATTCTAGTTCATTTGAATGAAACGTCCCACGTCCAAAATCTCTTCACTTGAACCATAGTGACTGCCTGGTCCAGTAGCAACTTTTGTGGGTTTAGCGGTGTGTTAAAGTTAAGCAGCGTCGAGTGTGGTCAGCACTTGGCGGGGTGACCACTCCATTGTATCTTCGCATCTACCTTATATTTGGTGCCAGAGATGGAATTTCGATACAATGTTCATAATCACAAACGTTAGTTGTAAACAAGAGTTGTCTAGATATTTACCACATTTTTACATATATTTAGGTATGTAGAACATTTTGCGATATCGGTGGTACACGGCTCTACCCAAACACATATCGGCCTCGGGATAAGGTACATGTACTCTAACGAAATTCTACCTTATTCAAACAAACACGGGAGGGATTGTTCCCCTCCCAAAAAACAGTTGTTGGAGAGTCCTCCTGACAGGTGAGTCGTATCAGGTGAAGGGTTTTACCAGCACTGGCTTACAATGACACTTTACATGTCTTTTTCAAACTGTGAGACTAATTAACTAGAATACATTACACACATCTCATGAATAAAATATAATTTACTTAAGAAGAATCTCTCTACGGGTGGTGACTGAAAAGTAAATTGATCTGTTACAGAAATTCGTGTTTGAATATTGACCATAATTGTTTCGTCAATGGATGTGTTTTTGAAGTTGTTAAGATTTTTTTATTTCTTTGTTCGATTGTACTTCATTTTAAAATTTGTGCTAGTGTCTGTCTGTTAATAGTGGTCGTGTCAAATTTCAAGAACTACAAGGCTACGATTTGACGCCCAATTTTGAAAATAACATAGATGTCTCGAAACGATCAAAAAACAATTTACCTTCACGCCTACTTCTTCAGACACACACTGCGATTTGTCCATACCTTGCAAGCTCTCATACAGCAGACAACCGATTCCCGAGGTATACAATGAAATAGACTTCTCTAAAAGAATTGCTTCTACATTTACAATGCTGTACACCCCTTGTACCTTTTTAAGGGACTAACATTTCATTATATATATATCTATTTTGCAGGTTGGCGGAAGTCATGATGAAGCTAAAGCCGCTTACCATTCCGTAACATCTGGTCTTATCCTTGTACTTTTTATGAATCTCTGTGTAAATCTTTACCTTTGTTTCATTTATTATTGCTGTTACTAAAGATTTGTTGATATGTCTGTAATTTTTCTTTCTTATTCAGGACAAAAATAGCTCTAATGATTTATTTTGTCTAATTTTTTTTTGATATGTGCCAAGACTGATTGATAATACAAGTCAAGGACACGTCGAACATAGAAAAATAGGATGGGGTCTCCGTATAGATATTTCTTTAATTCAGAGTATGGCCTAGTTCCATTGAATCTGAGTTTGATGATGATTATGCTGACATGTTGATATTTTCTTGGTGTTTTCTTATATATACACTAACAATAGCATATATAACAGAATATGATAGTCTACAGAGTTAGTAATCTGGAAATGTTGTCACAATGAAACCAGTTATTAATGACCAATAGATTATAACGCTAAGACTTCCATTTAAAATATGTATATAGATGCAAATATAGAGAAATCACTTTAAAAAATGAAAAGAAAAGAAATGAAAAAAGACTTTTTTATTTTTATATTTCATTTCAAAGCTTACTATATTTCAAACTCAAAAATTTATCAAACGAGTGCAATATATGACCAAAGGAAAGATTTACACATATATCGTTGAGCAAGTGCAAGTAGAATAAGATCATGTGTTACGGAAGAGTAAGCGCCATTTGCTTCATCGAATCTTAGGGTAAACAAAAACTATCCTCAGATTTTATTAAAATGTTGTGATCGCTTTTCATTGACATTTATATTACAATAAATACAAAATTTTTGAAATATAGCTAAGTTCAGCAATCGTTGGCTGCCGGTACCTAATGAACCTTGTTGTCAACATGGGGACACTCGGGGCGTGTTCATGAAGGAAATGATTCAATAGATGGCGGGAAAACTATATTTACACATGAAAATCAAACTGAAATTTACTTGAAAGAAACTGCAGGAAATACCCTGACGTTAATATCGAAGTTTTTGGTGATCTTTTTCATGTATTGTATCTGCCGAACAATTAATACTGTCACGGGGATTATTGCGTTCGTTTTGAAAATCTGTTAAACGAGAAAATGTTTTCAGAAATATGTTTCATGAGGATCGTTTATGTGTGTATAGTGGTGCGGAGTGACGCCCACTAAGATGATATTATGGTATTTTCTGAAGAGTTATGAACTGAGCACTACCGACTAACTCAATCAGTAATTTTACTGATAAATCAATGGTTAAGGATCTGACACAATTATCCTGTTACGAGGGCATGAAGAATATCCTCTTCATTCCAATGGTAATCCATAACAGGAAACGATGCATTTGTCAAATTAGAATCGAGTTTTAATTCTAATCTAGCGGTAATTTAAAGTAATATCAGATAAAAAGGCCAATAAATTTCGAGCTTGAGGAATAAGCAGGTGCATTTTAAGAGAGAAAAAACTAAATGCGACATAATATCAAAGCTGTATAAAAGGGATTTGAAAGATATCTGTTATAATTTGTGTAGTGTAAGTGCTATTTAAATTGTTATTTTATTCATGTCTGTTCACATCATGTACAAAACTGGCAGGTGAAAACATTTCTGAAAATTATATAAATGTAATAAAACTAGTAATGCTGTTGTAAGAAGATAGCAACATATTAAAATCAATCAGATGTGTCGATATATCAAAATAATTTCAAGCTCTAGAAAGTACAAACCTTTTGAAAGTCATTTTGTTTTCATCAGATGGACAGATATATCAAATTTATTTCAAGCTCGAAGAAATACGGATCTTTAAATATGAAATTACTTCTTTTTCATCAGATAATGTAGGTTCGAGATGTCATTTTGCAACAGAAAAAAGTATAAAAAAGATCAATTTTTCTTAAGCTTCTTTTCGATTTAGCACCGAGCTTTTATGAATGTGCACTATCTGAAACATTCAAAAAGGCGTAAAAAATAGGATTTAAAGGCACTTAACAAGAAATTTCCAAATGATAACGGAGTATCTTCATGTCATCTCCACAAGTGACCAAACCATTAAAACAACCCTCTATATGTTTTATTGTGTAAAACTTCTTAAAAAGTGAACTAAGTAAAACAGCAATATGGACCTCATGTTGTCCAACGCTTTGTCACCTACATTCAAAAGATCTTCATGGCACAATATAGGAGATACCTGTTAATGCTCGAGTACGTTCCATTAGCA